TGGCTCGAGCTCGACTCGACTCATTTGCACCCCTAGATGTAGGCAAAAATTTGGGAAAAACCCCAAATTTTTGCAAGCAAAAACAAGACTTTTCAAGGTAATAGAAAATTACAAAGATTGCCCCAAAATAGACAAATTAGACAAAAACAAACCAATATAATATAAAAGGCGCTTATAAACTTTTAAAATAAAGACACCTTAAACACCTAAACTTATTTTTCATTTGCTTTGAGAAGAAGGATACAAGTGGGGTGATCACTTGCGGATAGAAGAAATATGTTAGAAGACTAGATGAAGAAAGGACAAGCTCGCAAGCTTTCCTAGAGGAAAAGAGAAGCACGGAACAATCTTGCAAGCTTTTCCAAAGAAGGAAGGAAAACCCTCAGGTTTCTAGTTCCAAAAATACCATTATAACATTCTTTTATTCATACAAAACACCTTGTATTTATAGGAGAAAGAGGGCAGCCAAACAACCCCTAAAATCTTATTCAAAACCTAATAAATAAGGGGAAATAGAAGGCCAAAAGACACCACAGCAGCCCCCAAAAACTGTACAGAAAACAGCCCTAAAAAACTGCACATAAATCAGGAAATGAAAGGCCAAGGGACAGCCGTAAAGCATATTAAAAAACCTCCCAAAAACAGGTTTGAATTTACGGGACAGCAGCAGAAAACAGAACCGGTAAACAGAGGATCCCAACAGGCAGCCAGGCAACAGAACCGGCAAACAGAGGATCCCAACAGGCAGCCAAGCAACAGAGAGAAAACGGCACAGCATAGGGAAGAACATCATTTCGGAAATTGCATCAGAGGAGAAGAAACAAAAGGGGTAAAGAGAAGGGAAAGAGACACAAGTCCACTCCACAATAATGAGCTATAAAGAAGTATACCTTTTTGAATTTATGAGCTAGGAAGTGCATTTATTCCACCAATCATTGAGCTAAACTTCAGCTCAAACATTAATGAGCTAACATCAAGTAGAATCCAAAATTTTGAGCTCAACACCAAACAGCCAAGGCCCAACCGAGAATAGCCAAGGCCCCAAACCGAGAATAGCAAGCAGCCCAAGGACAAGAAGGAATCCAAGTTGATTTGACCCCCCCCCCCTTTGCCTACATCATGATGCTTACAAACTTATGAAATAAAAATCCTAAACTTGCTTTCCATCGCTTAAGAAGAATGATACAAATGGCGTTGAACTTGCGAAGAGAAGAAAGAGGTAAGAAGCAGAGACGAAGGAGATGACAAGCTTGCAAGCTTTCCTAGAGGAAGACAAAGAGATGAGACGTAGCTCGCAAGCTATCCTAAAAATCATCATGTTTTGCTCCAAAAATTATCTCCAAAAGTTTCTCTTTGCTTACAAAACATCACATATTTATAGGGAAAATGGGGGCAGCCAAACAACCCATAAAATACTAATTAAACCCATTAAATCATGGAAAATGGAAGGCCAAAAATCAGTCCATAATAGCACCCAAACAACCACACATAAAACCGGAAAAGGCAGCACTGGGTACAGGAAAAGGCAGCACTGGGTAAAGGAAAAGGCAGCTAGGGGAGCTGGAACAGCAGCCAGGCAGGGAAAACCGAAGAGACACAAAGAGGGAGAGAAGGACCAGCCATGGGAAGGAGCCAAGGAGGAGAAACCAAGGAGCCACAGAGAAGGGGGAATGAACCAAATAAAGGGGGAATACTTTTAGACAGGAATTATGAGCTGAAAAGGAGATAAACTACAAGTAATAATGAGCTGGAAAGAAGAAGAAGTTCAGCATTAATGAACTGATTTTAGAAGCTCACCAAAACTTAAAACCCAAAATATTTCTCCATCAAACCTCTCAATAAATATCTAGCTTCCATAGCAAACCTACCTGGTATGAATCCAAATGAATTTTTAGAAACATTAGTATCACGTCGTAACATATGCTTAATAATTCTCTCCCATAGTTTTAAAATATAACACATTAGCTTAATTCCTCTATAATTTGCACACTCTTGTGCATAACCTTTATTCTTAAAATTGGGAATTAACACACTCCACTCATCTAAGCATATTTTTAGTCTTCAAAATAATATTAAATCATTACCTCCCCTATCTCTTTGCTTGGCTAACTTATGCATGCATCTTTCACCCTCCTTGGTATGTAATTTATCATATAAATCATTAAAAACTAAGTTCTTTGCATCGCATATTGCTTACTTAGACTGCTTACGAACCTCTTTATAAATTTTTCATTTTTTTGAGTTTTACATCTAAATCAATTTTTATAACAAAATTTTTATTTTTTATTTTTTTCTTGTATATTTTAATTCCACCACAAACTATTTTTACTATTAAGAGATTTTTCTTTTGATACTCTAAACACATCATTTGCAACATTCTTAATATAACTAGTTATTTTTTTTCACATAACATTAACTTCCTCATGTATAGTCAAAATCATAAAATCTTGAATCATGCTCTAATAAATATTTTATTAGTGTTTTTAAATGCCTAAGTCTAATCCTAGAATAACATTTCATTTTATTTTTTATATTTTGCCCCTTCTTAAAGTCCAAAACTAATAAGCGATGTAGGGTACATAAACTTTTACTTGAAATAACCTTACTATCTTTGCAATATAAACGATCAATTTTTCTTGTAAGATATAATCAATCTGAATTTTACTATATCAATTCTTAGAAGTGGTGAGATACTCACTTTTTTTGGAGGAGATTTAAATAGACATACTGGTAAAGAGGTAGAAGATTTTAAAAGCAGTCATGGTGGTTATGGGTTTGAAATGACTAATAAAGATGGTATGATCATATTAGATTTGTTACTATATCAATTTTTCTTGTAAAAATTCAATTTAAAAAATAATGTCAGAGCATTAACGAGTCACAATTAATGATTTAAGGGAATCTCAGTTGCAAAGTTGCTTAGGCAGTGTTACAAACTCGTTAGGCAAGACAATTTAAAATAATAACAAACATGCGAGTAATGACAAATGCACTTTAACAATAATCCGTGGGTTAATATTTAGAAAAGTCGTATTGACTTTTCCTCACTCAAGCTCTCTTGCGGTTAACGGAAGAAAGATATTAGCAATACTGACGTGATCACCACGAGAAAGAGGGAGCTTACAATACTGTCCACAGGAAAGCTAGTCGGAGTTGGAGGATTCGGTGGAAGATGTAAGAGTTGCCACTAAGGTGGAAGGTAGTATTCATCGATGACGGTTGATAGATAAAATGGTATCCGATCCACGTAATCTTCAACGGTTGCGTCGATCTCTACGTTGACGTCACAGAAAGGCGATCTCAAAACGTCCACACGACCTTGGGAATCAAAGACAAATCTATGATCAACATCCGGATCGGTCATGCATAGTTGTCCAAGAGAAAATGTAGAGAGGGAGAGGTTGGCCAAGCTAAGGAGAGAAGGAGAAAAATAAAATCTGAAATTATTTTCAGATTTAGTGAATAATTAGGGATTAATCTCCTTTGAAATTTGAATTTGAAATAAGTGGAGATTAGGAGGAAAAGTGGGGAGGGAATGAATTAATTAGATCCTTAATTTATGGAATCAAATTAATTAAAAGAGGGGGCTTGGTTGGCCGACCAAGGAGAGAGGAAGAGGGAGAGATTGGATATTAATGAGGTGGGCCCAAGCAATTAGTGGCTTATTTTCTGAAAGGATTAATAGGGAAGTTTCCTAAGAATGAATCACATTAATTGGAGGGAATTTGAAATTCAAATTAATTTGAATTTGATTTCAAATCCTTTCCAACTTAGTATTAATCCCAAATAGGAAACTAATGAAGGCTAATTGAAGGGACCCAAAGGAGCAAGGGAGGTCGGCAGGTTGGGGATTTGGAGGAGGCGACGGGTGGGGGAAAACCGCCAGTGTTCCGACGACTGGGCTGGGCTGAAAAGGTGGCCGGTGGAATGTGGAGGGGTTGGGTAGGGGTGGCAGTTTGGGAATGGGAAAAAATGGGAAGGGGCTGTCGTCGAGTATGGAGGAGAGGGGATGTGACCGACTGTTTGGGGAAAAAAAAGAGAGGAAAAAAAGAAAGAAAAGGATAACGTGAAAACAAAACTAAGAGCTCACCTGCCGGTGGGCTGTTAGGTACTCCGTTAGCCTCTCCTAGGCTTCACCACCACTCTCTAGAACTCACAAAGAGATCATGAGCAAAAACTGAATTTTTCTTATCAATAATCATCATCCCAAATACAATAAAAATGACATATATATAGGTCTCACCAAAAAGAAAAGAAACAAAAACTAAAATGCCCTCGGGGCTACGACATCAAATGACCACCCATAAGGGATCAGTAAAAACTGAAAATAAAAATAAACTACTGCATAAAGTGACTAAAAAATATAAGCTCCTGAATAGTCGTCGATCTTCGGTATCTCCTCTGATAAATGCGTCAAAATCTCCTACTGATGTCCTCATCACATACAGAGGTTTAAAGAGAGAATAGGGGATGAAAATAGCATACAAATACAGACAATGCTGCGTATGCATAACATGATATAGAAAGAACATTCCTACTGTAAATTTCTACAACATGCCACAAAGTAAACAACCTTTCTATCTTACTGGAAGAAGTCTTGGCTACTAAAGTGCCATCTATCACCTCTAAATGATTTTTTGTCGGTTAAAGTTTCTATTTTACAGAATTCAAAGATGTGCCACTAAAATAGCATCTAAAGTACAATATTAACAACAGGTGCATAATATTTTCCTATGTCTTGACCAAATTCCAATGTATCTCTACAACCTTCAGGCTCAAGTAATCTTTGGAACCTGGTCTTTTTCTTCCATTAAATAAAAGATACTAATTTATAAATGCAATAGTGGGATTATATGAAATCAAATTTCTCTTGTAAAATATTCCCAGATGATGGTAGCAACAACAACAAAAAGGTAAAAGATTTAAAGATGACATACTTACAATTGACTATAAATAGGGGAACTAACAGAAAGATGAACAGCAGCTGCCACTATACTTACCGGGACAAATTGGAAGAACAGCAATTGACATCCCAACAAAGGCCAATGCAGAAACCCCGCCAACTAAGCCATCAGCTTCGTCAGTTAAGTGAACACCATTGGGCATAACAACAAAACAAAATAGTGTCAATAGCGGATAGCACTTTCCCAGATGAACAAGCCCATAAGGTGGAGGCAGAGGAACCAACAACTTCCTTCAATAATGAATTATTAACAGTTAGAAACACAGGTGGGCAATGGGGGAAAAAAGCAATGTTAACGCCTAATTCAAAATATAAACATTTTATATCCAAGCAAGTACGATTCTAAAATCAGTGAATGAGCGAGATTATTCAACAGGATAATTCAACAAAATATAGACGAATATTCTGAATTCCAAGCACAATAAAGCTTGGACCGAGGATTGTGATGGGTGCTCAAAATTTGATGTAGGCAAGGGGCGGTCAAAACAAATCTCAAATTTTGGCCTTGGCTGCTCTTGGTTTGTCCTTGGCTGCTCTCTGTTTGGAGCCTTTGCTACTCTTGGTTTGGGGCCTTTTGCTGCTCTCGGGTAGGCTTTGGCTACTATGGTTTTGAGTCTATCAACTTGGTGCCGTTGCCAGGTCCCAAGTCCTGGATGAGAAAAGTGGAGGGTTGCATTAGGTAGTCGACAGCCAGCGTAAAACTTGTCGAACAATAATGACATGAATCCTTTAAGAAATTGTGTTAATGCTAGGGCGTCCCCTGGAAGCGACGCGCTGTATGGCCTAAATACAGTGACAAGTGTGCAAGGGCCGCTGCACCGGCGCCCGGGTGCAGTGTTAAATAGGCAAGGGTTCCCACATCAAGGACGGATGTGGGCAAAGAAGCTAGTCCATGAAACTAAAATTAGGATAGGAACTTGGAATATAGGTTCCCTTACAGGAAAATTATTGGAATTAATAGATATTATGATTCATAGGAAGTTAAATATTTTGTGCATTCAGGAAACTAAATGGGTTGGAGATAAGGCTAAGGAAATTAATAGTTAAGGATTTAAACTTTGGTATTCGGGTAGGAGTCGTACTAGAAATGGTGTAGGTGTTATTATAGATAAGAGTTTAAAGGATAATGTTATAAAAATTAATAGGATTGGAGATAGAATTATAGCTTTAAAGATTGTTGTTGATGATAAGATTGTTAATATTATAAGTGCTTATGCTCCTCAAGTAGGTTTGGATATGAGTTATAAATTAAATTTTTGGAATGACTTAGAAGAATTAATACAAAATATACCTCTTGAAGAAAGAGTTTTTATTGGAGGAGATTTAAATGGACATGTTGGTAGAGAGGTA